AACCCATCTGGCCTTGGCGCTTTATTTCTATCCATATTGAACATAGATCTATTTATTTCATCAAGAGTAAAAGGAGCTACAAGAGAATCTTGCATTTTCTGATTCAAAACAGGCCCTTCCTAACAACATCTTTGTTCACTTGGGATATGTTCTGGTCATTAGTACCTAGAAAATGCTGATAATATTCCAAGAAAGCATGTGACACTTCTTGAGGGTTATCCACCCATTTCCCATGCATGTCAAGAAGAGCATACACCCTATTCTGCATTCGTCTTTTCTTCAAAGCATTATGAAAGACTGTAGTGTTCTGATCCCCATAAAGAGACCAAATTCCTTTCACCTTTTATTTCAAGAAATCCATGTAAGTGACTTGCTTCTACACAAAATCCTCTCTGGCTCCATTTTCCTTCTTAATAAAATCAATGTCATCGGGATGAGCATGAAGATCACTCTAAGCTCTATCTAAATTAGTAACAGCTTTCCTGTAGTTCAACTGAACATCCTTCACACTAGTCTTCCTGAAATCAGCTAGACAGTTTTTCACATTCTTGAGCTTGTGTACAACTCTGTACATCATAGTGCCTTGAACCTATAAACCCCAGGCCTGTTTCACCATATCTGCAAAACCAGAAGCTTTGCTCCACATATTAAAATATCTGAATGGATTTTTATACTGAGTAGGATCATGATAAACTAAGAGAACACTTGGGCAGTGATCAAACTTCCCTTCATTCATATAACTCATAACAAAATGCTCAAAATGTGTGCACCATAGCTCATTAACCAATCCTCTATCCAGCTTAGAGAAAACTCTAGCTGAACCTTGTTTATTGTTCCAAGTATAGTAGTTGCCACTATACTTCATATCCTACAACTTGCAAGATTCAATGCAGTCCCTAAACTCCTCCATTTCACTCCACTTCACAGTTGCACCAATTCTCTTTTCTGTATCCAAAATACAGTTAAAATCCCCAGTAATGATCCATGGCTTATTATTCCAGGTGTTTATACCTTTTATGTCATTCCAGAGAGCAACTCTATCCTTTGCAGAGTTAAAAGAATAAACAAAAGTACAGGCAAAACTGATGATCCTGTTCTTTGGTAGGACCAAACAGTGCATAAGTTGACTTGTACTTATCACAATATCAACATCAAATGCTCTGGGGTTCCAACCAATGACTATTCTACCTCCAAGATGAGTGTTATTATTACAATAAAAGCACTAACCATCAAACACCCTAAGGTATAAATTTCCCATATTAGAAGATTTGACCTTAGTTTCTAGGAGAGAAACAAACCCACAATTATAGAGTAGAATAACTCTTTTAATCTGTTGCTGTTTACTGAGTTTATTTGTCCCCCTAACATTCCAACAAAGGATTCTATCCATGTTGATCAGAGGGAATTCCACCCTCTGCAGCATGAACTACCCTCTCACTCATCACATCTGCATCTGCATCTATCTCCTCATTCTATAGGATCTAAAAAGAGTTTTGCACCCTTATCTCACAAGCAGCCTTTGGAGACTCTTAGCAGCTCTTCTATCTGACTGAAACTCATCATTCTTAAACTTATCTTCAACATTTGGTCCAGCTTGACCCACATTCTGAATCTGCTGAACTTGTACTGGTTTTTTAACAGCCTTTGGAACCCATTGTTTCTTAGGTCTACTCTTTTGTTTCTTGCAGTTCTCCTAGGAATGCCCTAACTGTTTACACTTAGAGCGCGACATCTTGTAAGCTTCCAATCATACTTGATCTTAACTTCTACTCTGTAACCCTTCTCATTCACAAATTCAATCATATTTGGATAGTTCTAAGCTACTCCTACTTCAATCGACACTCTAGCAAACTGGAGCTTCTCTCTATTAGCAGTGGGTTGATCTACTTTCACAAAGTTTCCTAGCTTACTCGTTATCTTTTGCAATGATTTCTCCCCCACAGTACTTCAAATGAAGATTCCATAACTGAACCCACATAGGAAAAATCTTGAAATCCTCCTGTAGGGAATAATTTCAAGCGTTAATCCCCTTGCTTGAACCCCACTATTATCATACACTAAAGTACGTTGGCGTCCAAAGGGAAAGAAGATAGAGCAAAAGAGTCGCCAACAAGTTTTTTAGGAACTTGTAAACCGTTCACGAGGTGAAGGTTACACCCCTTAACGATCCAAGAGATCGTCAACTCCATAAGGTCTTGAACCAAATAGGGTTCGGGGATGAAGGTACAAATCCAACCTAAAAGAGATTGAACCTGCCCTAATAATAGGCCTCTACTTTATTTTGATCGTATTCATGTGCGCTTTTTGACTAACATACAATCAATAGGTTTAACCATAAACCTGTTTATCTATGTTGGTTGAATTTTAATGCACAAATAAATCTATTATTGGCGATCACTTGAATTATAATCACATTAACCCTAAACAAGATTATTAATTATCTTATATAAACATGATTACAAGTACAAATTCCCTTTAAACATGCATAAAAGGCGTGATCAAACAATAGCAATAAATATATCATCAAGCAACATAATAATAATCATAAATAATCAAAATAATCATCATAACAATAATTATAACAATTATAATCATAAATCATAAATCATGTTAAAGCATAATAATAGCAAGATCCTAGGCATGATACTAACAAGATTAATAACAAACCCTAACATGTCACTAAACATATAAAAATCATATATTTAACCCTAACATGATACTAACAAATATAAATATTAGGAAGAACATAAAAGGCATCATAACAATCATACTTGATATTAAAGTTACCCTAGACATGATACTAGGAATATCATAATAACAATCTAAGCATGATTTCTATATCATAATATCAATAAAAACCATTAAAGTATTTACTTTGATGCCTCGTACCTCTTTCTAATAACAAAATACACGCGTTAGTAACTTCAAGGAAAATAATAATCAAACAATTAAATTAAATAATTGAAATAGAGATATTTGGGACCAAACCCTCAGAAATTAAACCTTTCACGTCTAGGGCGAAGACAACTTCGAATATGGCTAGGTGTTTCTAGATCTAATGAATGCGAGATTTTTATATTTGAGAGAAGCTAGTTTAGAAAAGAGAGAGAGAGAGTAATCAAGAGAATCTTGATGAGAGTTGGTGAATCCAAACGGAGTTTTTACGACGTTATTTATAAAGAAAATCAGCCAAAAAGATAAAATATCAAAACAGAGTTCTGGCGCACGTAAAACCTGATTAGCGCCAACGCTGGCTATTGGCGCCAGACGCCAACATTAGCGCCAGTCGCCAACATTAGCGCCAGGCGCTACAGCTGGCGTTTGGCGCTGGTTCGAAAAATCACGCTTTTTCTTAAAATCAGATAAAAATTGCCGTACAGGAGGATAAAATCGTATTTCCCTCAAAAATACTCTTTGATTCTAATTAAAATTCTGAAAAGTCAACAAAAGTCAATTTATCAATGCTAATTGAATTAGGAATGAAAAAAACTTCTAGAAGAATCTAGAAGACTAAAACCATTCCTAATTGCATTAGGAATGATAAATCTATATTAGGCCCTCCTCTAGATCATTGGGCCGCATATAAGGCTCAAGCCGGGCCCAGTTTAGTAAATTGGCCATAATTTCCTCAATATTCATCGGAATTGGGATTATAATATATCGTTGGAAAGCTTTTGTCAAGCCCCATCTAACTACATTACTATTGGACCCATATCATGGACCAACCAAACTGTATTGACCGTTTTCTTAAAATAAATTTTCAAAAACAGAGAGAAGAGAAAAGAATTAAAACTATCCGCAACACTAAACTTTCCACACTTTCACTTCATTCGATTATGATTCGACGCGAAAGGTGTTCATCACTGGGTTTGGTTTTGGGGAGACACAAATGGGTGTCTACACCTCCTTAGAAATCTCCATATCTTGTTCCCAAGCTTTAATGAAAACAGGTTTCTTATCAAAGAAAACTCTACCCCTAGTAATCACCTTATCTCTGTTTTTCATTGTGTGAAATCTAACCGTGAAAATGCCCTTCTCAAGCAGAGACACCTTATCAATTCCCATTGACTTCCAAATTCTTCTGAAAAACCCCTCAATAACAGGTAAAGGAGGATTTGCCCCACAAACATAGCATACAATTGCCGAATTCCAGAAATCAATTTCATCCTGAATATCCTCTATATCAATTCTAACACATTCGGGTGTATTGCAATTATCATCGTTATCATTCAAATTCATCGTTTCAGCATGCAGTTCACCAGTCTTAGCATTTAATTCAGCATTATCCACATTCTCAAGTTCAGATTGTAAGTTCTTAGCAATACTAGCATGCAAAATTGGGGTATTGATTTCATGGGTATGAGGTATCAATACCTGGGTTCTTCTGTACGCTAGCTTTAATGGCGCCTAATCAGTCCGAAAAGGTCTTACGAAGCTCTGATTTCTACTGTAGTTCCGCCATTAAAGCCTTTGGTGAGAGAATTTGCTCTTCTACAAAATCCGCAATCACTGGGTCCAAATTCATCTCCATTGCTTCCGAAAAATCCTTCGATTTTTCCTTCGAATTCTTATTCTTCTTGCTTTTATGTGTAATTTTCTGTTGCTTTTGCACAATAGTATGATTGAGCTCTAGTGCCCACTACCATGGCAGCTCAAACCCACGCGCTTGAGCAAGGCTTTCGCTCTTTCTCTCTCTAGAAATATGCAAAACTTTTTTCCATTTATTTATGGCGAGGAATTTTTAATGAAAACATCTTTAATTATTACTAAAACAAAACATTGATGACGTCATCAACTCTCAAATTATTCTAGGTGTTATCTTAACTTAAAAAAATTTCCCTCCACTTTCAATGAGTGATGTCATCATTTATTATTATTTTTTTAATCTCTACATTATACATTGTTATAACAAAATAAATAAATAAAACTAATTTCCCCAATTGCAATATATATTTTTTTAATCTCTACATTATACATTATACATTGTTATAACAAAATAAATAAATAAACCACTCTTTTTACACAAATTATAAAACTTTATTTTATGCATAATAATAAAAATTAATTAAATCGTGCAACGCACGAGTCTAATCTAGTTGAACACTTATATTTAAAAAAAAATAAAAAAAAATCTAATTTCCCCAATTGCAATATATATTTCTTTAATAGAATTAAAATTTTCAAAACACAAGTGAAAAAATGATACTTGTTATTTGAATTAAAAAATTCGTCAAAAAAAAAATTGCTTAATTATAGTGTTTAGGCTGGGTACAACTGTACAAATTGCTTCAACGGATACAATTATACAAATATCATCAACGGTAAAAAAAAAACCGCGTAATTAAACCGCCAAACGTATTACGCGGTTTATTGCGTATAAACCTATTATTGTGCCGTTATACCGCACTCACTCCCGCTCTCTCTCTCTCTTAGTTTCCCGTTGTAGCTCACTCAACGTTCTTCCTCTCCATTGAAGCGAACTTAAGGTTCTCCATTGAAGCAAACTCAACGTTTTCCATTGAAGCAAACTCCACGTTCTCCATTAAACAGCCTTCTGTTAATTTCAATACTCCATTTGAAGCAGCTTCTGAGGTAATTTTTTGAAATCATCGAAAATCAATTTCATAATCTAGGGTTTATAGTTGATCTAATTTTGTTTGATTGTAAGCATACTAAATATGTGGTTCGGATTTTTGAACTATTGCTTCTAACTGTTGAGGTTATGAAGGATCAAATGAGCGATTTTGTTGGTAGAGTAGAAAATTATGAGTGTAATTTGATGATGGATATTCTCCCTTAAATTATGTGAATTTTCTAGTCTAATTTTATTTTTTTAGTCTAATCATCAAATATCAATTCCATAATCTAGGGTTTACCGTTGATCTAATTTTATTAATTTGTTAGTATACTAATTATAGGGTTCGGATTTTTGAACTATTGCTTCTAATTGTTGAGGTTATAAAACTAATGAAATATCAAATCAGTGATGTTGTTGGTGGAGTAGAAAATTATAAGCATAATTTGATAATTGAACTAAATGGGCATATTCTCCCTTAAATTATGTGATTATTCTAGTCTGATTTGATAATTTGATTTTTCTAGACTAATCATCGAATTTCAATTTCACAATCTAAGGTTTATTGTTGATCTAATTTAGTTTAATTGTCAGTATACTAAATATGGGGTTTGGATTTTTGAACTATTGCTTCTAATTGCTAATGTTATGAAAGATAATAACAAGCGATTTTGTTGGTGAATTTTTCCTTAATTGTGCATATTTTCCCTTAAATTATGTGAATTTTTAGTCTAATTTGATGACTGAATTAAATTTGGTTGCTGATGTATTGCAGAACCCTTTAATATTTGGGTTGAACTATGAAAGACCACTTCTCTCAGGGCTCAGGACAGCGGCAACCTGTTAATGATTCTGGGTCTGCTTCCCTAGAAAGAGCGGAATCAGCAAATCAGCCTACTGGCATTAGAACATATCGCTCTCAGGGAAGAAGCTCTGTGCCCAATGTAGCTTCCAGACGCCGTGGGTCTACTTCCCTAGAAAGTGCGGAATCAGCAAACCGACCGACATGCATTAGAACATATCGCTCTCAGGGAAGAAGCTCTGTGCCCAATGTAGCTTCCATGCCGTGATCTTCCTCATTTAAGGACTCTACCAGTAGATGTATGTTTATCCATTAAAATCCCACTTATATTTCTTTAGTCTATAGGTTAGAATGACATAATCTGGATTATAAGCTGAAACAGCTGCTTAATTACTACATATGTTTATATCTTGCATGAAACTTGTTATTATCTGCTTTTCAGAGAGTCGTAGAATGCTGTTCATAAATCTTTACTCCTTTACTGCTTTTAGAATGAACAAGCAAAGGAGAATTAACGTTATTAGGGCCATTAGAGTTACAGGCTTACAGATGATAATACTAAAATGTTGTACAAAATATACTTTAGATGAGGATCACTTGTTTTTATATAAAATGTTAAGATTCTGCTTTGTTGCTTGTAGGAAGTTGCGATTTTGGAATTCCCCAACGTTTATGAAGTAGACTACGATGTCGAGAGAAACAGTAATTATCATAGGGATATGCAATTGGATATTGATGACATGCCCTATGCGGTGAGTTATCCTCCTTTTCTGGCAGCTCCAGGTACTGTTCCAACAAGTGATGGTATGCTTCATAATTTTTTGCCAATATTCCAAGAAAGTGCAGAGCCAACAAACTGGCCAACAGGCATTAGAACACATCGCTCTCAAGGAATAAGCCTTGTGCCTGCTGTAGCTGTCAGGCGCCCTGATCTTCCTCGTTTAAGGACTCTTCCAGTAGATGTATGTCTATCTACTAAACTCCTCATATTTATCTGGGCTATAGCTTAGAAATACATAATCTGGTTCTTAAGCTGAAACAGCTGTTTCAATACCGCATATCTACATATGTTGCATGACACTTGTTAATGTTATCTGCTTTTGCGTAGAATGCGGTTCACAAAGTAGATTTCCTGTTATTTGCGCTGTTAGAGTTACGACTTACAGCTGAAATACTAAAATGTTGCACAACATATAATTTAGATGACGAACACCTGTTATTATTTTGAATGTTAATATTCTGCTTCACTGCTTGTAGGGAGTTGCGCTTTTGGAATTTCCAAACCTATATGAAGTAGACTACAATGTTGAGAGCATCAGTGATAATCAGAGGAATATGCGTTTGGATATTGACAACATGTCCTATGTGGTGAGTTATGAATCTCATCTTGATTGTTTATAACTATATATTGTTTTGTAAAATAGTACCTTGCTCTTGCAGATAAATTACAAAGTGTAATCAGACATGTAGATTTTCCTTGTATCCTAGCATTGGTGATATGATATGATATTTGCTTTCTTTGTTGCAGGAGCTTCTTGCTTTGAGTGAACGTATTGGGACAGTTTGTATTGGGTTGACAGAGAAAGACATCAGATGCCATCTGAAAACCAGAAGATATAAGAAATCTACTGCAGCTACTATCAATTCAGAGGAGTTGTCATGTAGCGATCAAAACAACGATTTATGCATCATATGTCAGGTAAAAATTACTATGATGTTCTGTGCTATCCTTCTGTTCCGGGTGTTAAAGTAAGCTTGGTTGAAGTTTAAATAAAACCTTAACCTGTTAAATGAAAAAATGGCTCCGTATGCAGTATGATGATGGTTGTTGTTGGCATTGCAGGATGAATATGAAGATAATGAGCAGCTGGGAACCCTAGAGTGTGGACATGAATACCATGTAGATTGTTTGAAGAAGTGGTTGCTCTTGAAGAACGTGTGCCCGATTTGTAAATCAACTGCCTTGGTTCTGGATCGTTAGGATATTGTTGATGATGTTAATAAAACCCTAAGTAGTTGTAATCATGTTTATGGTATTAAATTGTTGATTGAAGTTCCAATAGTTGATGTAGATTTAAATTGATTGTGTCTGTTTCTTTGTGTATGTGTTGTTTGTTTGGTTCTTATGGCACGAGTGATGCTGTTGTTTTAAGGTTTCAATATAAGGGTGAGGATGTTGACTTGGTAGTAGAGGATATTGACAAAGTAATGATTATTGACTATTGGGATAAGGCAATTGAGAGAAGAAACCACAGCTTAGAAATCCCACCTTTATTTGCATATATGTGCACAAGATGAAACATTGCCATTTAAATAATGATAAGGATTGATGATAATGTTTAGCAATTTGCTAGGAAAAGATTTGATATACATATGGGTGGGAGAAGTTGAGTCAGAAACTGAATCAGTGAAGACTGCTAGCTTAGGGGTTTGAAGGCAAGTAGGATAGCAACTGATTTGAAAAATACGGTGGGACATTGTTAAGTCATCAAGATCAGGACCGTCTTAACCATGTTTGGGGCCTTGTGTTAATTTAAAATATGGGCCCTTCGAATTTCAACATCTTAACTTAACAATTTTTCTTTCTCTTATTCTCAATCCTTTTTTTAAAAAAATTATAAATCTCAAGGTTTATTTATCTAAGTATATAATTTTATTCTTTTTTGTAAAAAAAATAACTAAAATTATGATACAACACTTCAATCATTAAAGACAATCTTGATGGCAGATGATTAAAGCAATAGAGTTTCAACTAAAAAAAAAAAAAATATTTAGAGCATACTACTTTTACCAAATTTGAACCTTACAATGAAGATACATAACTAATTATTCTGATTTTTATGCAAAATTGCAACCTTGCATATAGATGATTATATAAACATCTTCCTTCTTCAAAAAAAAAAAAAAAAAAAAGAAGAATGATTATATAAACATCTAAAAATAAAAGCAATAAATAAAGTTTGCTTAAGTCACTTACAATAGTGAGCAAAAAAAATTCTCTCTCTACCCACTTTATCTCTCTTCCCACCTTACTACCTTACATTGCTCATGAGCATTTTTGGTAAGCATATTTTGTCCCAATAGTGATAAAAAAAAATGCTCATCATTCTCTCCTATTTTTTTCAATACCCCACCAACGTTTCTCTTTCTTACACATCGATCACCATATTATTATTAAGGGATTTTATCACTGGTACCCTCAAAGAATTGACTTTTTTTTATCAATGGTGCACCTCATTAAATTTTCATTATCAGCGGTGCACCTAATATTTTTACCTAATTGCTACAGTGATCATTACTTAATTATAACGTTAAGTAAACGTTAACTTAGGGCATTTTGTGAGGATTAAGGTCAGCCATCGAGTTTACGAAAATGCCCCCTAGTCATTAAGTCACCCTCCAAGCCCAACTAACTTCATTTATAACAAAAACAGCCAAAATTTTTTGATCGTTCAACTTCTTTGCTCATTCCTCTGTTCTGAAGTTGTATACAAACCCTAATTGAAGCAGAAAATTTGGAGAATTTCTTTGACAAATTGCCATTAAGGTTAGTACTCAACTTCGAATTTTATTTTGTGAATTATTTGGTATAAATTCTTATGTTTTAGGGTATTGAATGTTTTTTTTTTTTTTTTTTTTTTTTTTTTTTTTTGTGGTGTTCAATTATGAGTTCGAATAAGGAATAATGATGTAATGTTGTTTGATTTTGGTAGAATTCATGCTAGAATTGCACATTATGTATTGTGGATGCTTAAAGTTGTTTTATTTGTCAAAAAAAAATTTGGATTATATTGTGATTGTGTGATGCATGTTGTAGCACTGTGAAGTTGTAAACCTAGGTTTAATGTAGTAATGTGCTTGATTTTATGATGATGTGCTGTGTTGTGTTTAAATGGTAGTGTATTTCAATTTTGCAGTATGGATGACACAGTTTTATTTAGATTTAAGTATAAGGTGCATAAAGTTGATATTGAAGTGGATGTTGATCGTTGTAATCTCATGGACTTAATCATAGAATTTGAGGATGAATTACAGAAAAAAGGGGTAGTAATAGTGAATCCTATCTTTGCTTATGCATATAGAGGGAAACATTGGCCTATTGATGATGATGGTGGTGTACAAAGGATGTTTAGGATTTCCTAGGGCTAAAATGTATGAGATTTTAGTTGGAACAAACCCTTTGAGATCTAGCTACATGAATGATTTGGTGTCTGAGTTTAGAAGAAACAAAATAGTAGCTGAACTAGGGGACTTGCCACCAGCTCCTACATATGAACCAGACTCATCACCACCCCCTTTAATTGACCCAGACTATGTTCCTAGAGCTGCAGTGTATGAGATAAATGGTGAGACCACCATAGTACTTGCTGAACTAGGAGATGTACCACCCCCTCTTACAAATCAACCCCAATCACAGTCTGTTACAACTCAACCCCCCTCACCCAATTATAAAGTTCAGTATCAGGTTCATAGTGAGAGAGACAAGCTGAAGCCTAGGAGGAAACTAAGGTTGAAATACACTGATCAGGCTAATGTTGTGCATACTGAAGCTGAGCCTAATACTACTGTGCAAGATGTTCTTCCTGCTCCCAGTAGTGTGCAAACTGAAGTTGAGCATCCTAGTCAAGTGCAAGATGTTCTTCCTACTCCCAGTAGTGTGCAAACTGAAGTTGAGCCTCCTAGTCCTGTGCAAGATGATTCCAGACCTAGTGATGTTCCCGCCCAACATTAGTTAACATGTTTGGTAATGAGTTCAACTATGATCCAGATATGACTTGGGGTAATATTTTGCAAGATAATGAGGAGGGCAATGGGAAGCAATCTAATCAGTCTCAGGGGGAATACACTAAGGGTAGGAAAGAGTTTGAGAATTCTTGTGAGAAGGCTAAGGGGAAAAGGGAAAAGGAGCTCTTCTGTCACTGATGCAAAGGGGAAAGGGAAAGAGGGTTCTATTGGGACTGATGCACAGGGGAAAGGGATAGAGGGTTCTGCTGGGGCAGATGCAAAGGGGAAAGGTAAAGAGGGTTCTACTGGGGCAGATGCAAAGGGGAAAGGTAAAGAGGGTTCTTCAAAGGCAAAGGGGAAAGGGAGAGGCAAAGGGAAAGGGAAAGCTGTAGACATTGACATGGGGAGGGTTATATCTGGTGGTGAGAAGTATCCCCCATCTCCCATATCCCCACACACTGTGTTTAAAACTTTGCTTGTTAGAAGAAGCCCTAGGTTTTCACCACATCCGAACACATTTCAACCCAATTCAACCAAGCATTCAACTAGTCCTAACCCTAGAGATTCTACACCAGTCACTAATCCTAGTCTATTTGGTAGGAAAATACCAAAGAGTACTCAAGTGAGGAAAGGGATTTGGACTAGTACTAAGGGTAAGGGGACTAGTTCTGCACCAGTCACTAATCCTACTATTGAACCTAAGGCCAGAAGGAAGGTCACCTATGCTACTACTAAGGCAGGGGGGATTGAGCCTAGTGATTCTAGTAGTTCTTCTGGGGATGACAATGAGGATGATGACTTTGTTGACCATGGCTTTGAAGACGAAGATGATTCTGATGCTGATGTGATACTAGAGGGAGAAGTACCAGAAGATGAAAGGGGGGAAATCAGCAATGTAACCTACATAGAAGATAAATGGGAGGCTGGGTTTTGGGCATCTTTTGTGGATTCAGATGATGATGATGACTATTTCAACAAGCTGTATGGGCAGGGTGAAATGTATGAAGAGGTAAAGTTTGGTAAGATTGTTCTTAGGCCATGGATGATTTTTATAGACAAGACCCATTTGAGAGAGACTTTGAAAGACTATGCAGTGCAAGAAGGATTTGCATTGAATGTTATTGTTGCAGACAACAAAAGGTATACTGTGACATGCTATGCAGAGTGTTGTGAATGGAGACTTCATGTTAGTAGGTTGTCTGATGGGAAAACATGGGCTATTAAGAAGATATATCCAGATGTTCACAACTGTAGGGGTTCGGAGACCTATAATCCTATTTGCACTGTCAAGTGGGCTGCTCCAAAGGTGATGGAAGACGTTAGGGCAGCTCCAGACATTCCAGGCAAGGCTTTGAGTGATCTTTTGTTCCAGAGGTTTGGTATCTACATGAAACAAGCATCACTATACAGGCTCAAGAAGTATGTGATTGAAGATCTATTTGGTGGCCATGATGAGTCTTACTCTCAGTTGCCTTTGTATGCTGATATGATATATGGCACTAATCTTAATTCAAAGGCATATGGTAGTTGGACATTAAGTGAGAGCATACCTAGGGTGAACTTGTTCACTAGCATTTTCATCAGTTTTGCTGGACAGTGGAAGGGATTCCTTGCAGGATGTAGACCTTTGATTGGGGTTGATGGTGCCCATTTGAAAGGGAATTATGGGGTATCTCGTTGTCTGCAGTTGCAGTAGATGGCAACAATGAAATATTCCTATTAGCTTATGCAATAGTCAGTGGAGAATACAAAGAAACATGGTCTTACTTTCTTTGGAATTTGCGCAACATTGTGAAGGAATCAAATAGGAAAGAATGGACTATAATTTCTGACAGACAGAAGGTAACCCTTTAATCTATGTCCATCCTATTGCTTTACCATAATTTTGTAAGATTTTAATAACTTTCTTTTATTGGTGATATAGGGGGTTGATGTTGCTCTATCTGAAGTGTGGCCTGAAGCAAACAGAAGGTATTGCTGCAGGCACTTGAGTAGGAATTACAAAAAATCATTCCCAGGTCCTTTGATGTACATTCTATTTTGGAGGGCTTGCAATGCCACTAATGTATACACCTTTAGAAAGGCAATGTAAAGGCTACAAAAGGAAGGGGGAACTGATGTTATGAAATGGTTTGCTGATTTAGGGGATCAATCCAAATGGAGCAAACACAAGTTTGATCCAAATGTGTGCAGTGACTCAAACACCTCAAATTTTGTTGAGAGTTTCAACTCAACCCTAGGTGTTGACAAATGCATTGCTTGAAGTTATATGAGTTTAAGTATTCTTAAAATTGAACTTACATTATGGAATAGAAAGCTAACTGTTTGCTCTAATAATTGCAATTGGTCACATGTATTAGAAGGGTATGCATGGTCAGAATTGCATCAAGGCATCAAAGGGCACAAGACTGGAATGATGATGAGTTGTGCCCTAAAATTGCTAAGATTTTCAGAGATATTAGCAAATCAACAAGCACATGTAGGGCTTATCAATCAAGCCCAGGAGAGTATGAGATACATGAGGGAAAGTCCCAATTTCCTCTGAGTCCCAACAACAAATTATGCTCATGTGGAGCTTGGCAACTATCTGGAATCCCATACAGACATGCAGTTAGAGCTATGCTTCATGCTAAGGTTGATCCTCATAACTATGTCAGCTCATGGTATTCTGCAAGGACATACAAGCTAGTATACAGCCATGTTATACACCCCATACTTGATGTCTCTCAATGGCCACCTGCTAATCCTAACCACCCAAGTACCATTGCCCCACCAAAGATGAAGAGAGGTGTTGGAAGGCCAAGCAAAAACAAAAGAAGGGAAGGGGGTGAAGAACAACCAGGGAAAAGGGCAAGAACTGTGAGATGCAGCAGTTGTGGAAATTTTGGCCACAACAAATTGACTTGCAAAGGGGGTTTAACTGGGAAGGAATTGAAAGCAAGTGAGGCTTTGGTTGTGAAAAATCCAAGGGTGAGGGATCAATCCAAGGCCGCCAAGGAAGCTGCATCTAAGCAGTCCAGAGCTGCTGGAGCTGCAACAGAGATTTCAGCATCTCAAATGTCCAGCCAACCTCAAGACTTGTCTCAGTCACAGCCTTGAAGCATGCTACACTAAGCTGTCCTGTTCTGCTACTTTTAGTCATACTGACAATCTTATTGAAATAATTACTTTTTGGATGGGAATGTTAT